ATATATATAATTAAAATTAAGTTCAGAGTTGTAGCTCATATTAACGCAGGTTCCTCAAACATTCACCTCTCTGTGAACATCCTTTTTATTTTCTCTTTCTGAACCCGGACATAAAACAGTGCAGAAATAAAAGTGAAAGCAATCGTAGTCTTGTTTTGATTTAGGAATCGGAGGCTTGCAGTTGACAGAATTGAACGTGGAAGAGAGCCAAATAGAAAAAGGGTTGTTTTAAACATTTAGAAGTAATCAAACATGCCAGCAACACCTGCATTAGGATTGCTAGTTCTTCCTTGTTCCTGCATGACCATTTGAAGACTCCTGAAGAAAAGAAGCAATGCACTGGAGGTAACTGGATAATTTTGTGAGGCAACAAGTTGGAAACCATCTTGAAAAGTGCCTGAAGAAACTCGGAAAAGATAAGTTGTTTAGACCCTGGAATAATGAAAAATAGAAAGGAGAGGAGAGGCTAAAGGGTAGGGACCTATTTGTTATAATTAAAAGGCTTTTATTTCCTTCCTGCTTTTCCCACCCTAATTTTGTTCAAGCCCAAATAACCCTTTTGTGGAACACTGGAGTTGACTTTCTGGTTTTTAATTGGTCCTAATCACTATAAGTGAAACTTTTTCATCTGCATTTTTCATTTTATAAGTCTAAAATTAGTTCTAAAGGAAGATATTTGGTGTATTGTTTTGTGAAACTAGACCTCAGTTCTTTAGTCTACTTTTTATTTGCAGTGTTTTTTGTGATAACAGGGCTAGACAGTTTGTGGAATGACCAAATGGTAGAAATATTTTTATAAAGGACAATTAGATACTTTTAACTTGTACAGATGATGTAGCTATGATTAATGTTTCCTTATCTATCTGGCTCTTGGGAGCAATGTCGTGTTACAGAAAATTTTTCACTGTATCTGTTTGAAAGAGCTATGTTTTCACTTAGAACAAAGAATGCAGGGGAAAGAAAAGCTTGTAAGAGGAAAATGTTGACATTTGTGTCACAACCAACCAGAACAGATGTGAACAAGAATAACTAGCAATTCTCCCCCTTCTCTTCCTCTCCCCTGCATTTGTTTTGTTTTTTAAATATAAACATAGCTGCCTGGAGACTCCTTTTGGTTAGTGAAGGGACAAAGCAATTTGTTTCCTAGTGCAAGCTGTGCATAACTTATTTTACACTATAAGCTAAAGCTGCTGCTACATTTTGATAAATATTTCACCCAGGCATATAAGCATGCGGGTGAAAAGCTCAGCCTTGATTATTGACAGCAAAGGAAGGATACCTTCTGTGTAGCCCATGAGAAAGTTTCTGATCTTTATTTTCAAAGAAGTTTACCGCAGGCTATTTATCAGTAAATAGAAGCAAATGGGAGCAAAGTTCAGTTGTTCTGATCTGTTAGGTTAATGTTCTCTTTAACAAAGGTCAAACAAGTCCTTCACACTTTAGGGAATGCCTTATAGCATTGCAATATGCCTTGAAATTTACAGTATGATACCTAGGGTCCTGTTTATAATTTTATTTTCTTTAGAAAAAAGATTGCATTATTGTTACGTTTGGTGAAGTTGGCAGACTGGATTTGGCATTTTATCCACCTATCCTAAGCACCTGCAATAGGCAGATGTTTGATTGTATTAAAAGGTCCCCATCGCAAAATGTAAGCTGTTCCACGTAAAGCTACCTTTTGCAATTGACCGATGGTGGGTTTGTTAATGCCAATGGTGTTCGAGAGGTGCCATAGTTGTTTTGGGATTATTATTACTAATCAGCACATTTCTTAAATTTTGAGAGAATATTGGGAATATGATATTGGAAATATATTGATTTAATTGAAGCATCACACCAAACCATGATTTGCATTTAGAAATGATCAGGTTGTAGCTCCAGAGCCATATGCCACTTAATGAATTCTTGTGGTGACTCCAATCCACTCCCTTATTCCCAGAAGTCAATAGCAATGCAATTTATAAGTGTGCCAGAAGGGAGAAATTGTTATATAATATACCTGAGGAACAACAGTATTAGGTCTATATTTAAATACTTTAGCTTTCACGAAATGAATCACACAAAACTGTTCTCCACTTTTGGGAGTGTGGCTCCCAGTACACCACAGAACAAAGCAATTCTTCACTTGGAACAGTTTTATTCTGCTAAGGTTTACCTTTCTTAAAAACCTAATTGAGTATACAGTGGCAGGACTGTACTTGCCTGTGTATTATCCTAATCAAGGAAACATCCATACAAAGGCAAGAACTTGCACAAGTTACAGTCAGAAATCGAATGAGAACTATTCTTTCAGTTATGTGGCCCTCTACTGATTAAGTTATTATTAAGTTATTATTCACTACTGAGACATCATTATCAAGAGCTGCAGTTGTATTTGTGATATTTGAATTTAACTACTATTTTTGTGATCCTGGATAATTATTCTTCCTTTCCTTTATTTATTATATGTCCCACTGAGTTTATAAATAGACAGTATAGCTGGGTTTTCAAAAGGGATATAGTTGGCGTTGATGGAAGTATAGCAATGACAATAGTAAAAAAAAAAACAGTTTTGGTTCTATCAATAAGAGTAAACATATGATGCAATTTTTAAAAAAATTCTCTCAAATTCATAGCTCTCTAAGACTTTTAGAAATAGAAAATTATTTGCAAACATACCCAGCTTCAGCAGCTTCATCAATCAATAACCCTCTTAATTCTGCATTTTAGAAATGTTGGTCTGTCCTTGTTCTTTTTTAAAGAGATGTTTAGCATTGATGCAATCATGACTGTAATGGAATCTGCCCATTATGACCTCAAGTGATGGTTAAGCGAGGTCACCATGTGATCGCTTTGCTTAATGAACTCTACCCCTGCTTTCCCCAATGAAGTTGTTAAGCAACTATGTGGGTTGTTAACCCACTGAGCCATGGTGGCACAATGGTTAGAAAGCTGTACTACAGGCTACTTCTGCTGACTGCCGGCTGACT